TAGAGGGATCGACTGGAACTGATTCCTAGGGATTCATGGAAGCAATATCTATAAGAGGCTAGAAATAGACTTTTTATCGTGAAGTTTTAGGATCTGGGTCAAATTACAGAGAGGTTGCCAGGGGCAACTCGGGAACATATGTGGTAGTGTATAAAATACAGGACAGTTTTTTCATGAAGTTCATTGGTACATTGTAGGTACCCAATACAGTTACATTCATCACTGGGAACTTGTACCTTTCCATGATGCATCTTGGTTCTTATTTTTCCCCATTCCCCTGCCCTCCCTCCACCCTCCCTTATTATAAAGACTTTGTTTCCATTTTTTCCTTTTCTCATATTTTTCCTTCCTCTTCTTTCCTTTCCCCACCCTCTCACTTCCCCTACCCCTGTAGGCTTTTTCTTTTGAAAATAATTAGATAACATAAAATGCCTAGAGTAAGAAGGCTAAAATTGCCATTTTAGGATCTACTCCACTTGTACTTTGAGGCTACTTATTATTTACTTCAACAAAGTATTTGCAATTTGCATATAATAAAATTTGGATGTATAATTTTACTTATGACAGATCTTTTAGACTATGAAAAATTAAATATAAGATAAATGTCCATGAGTACAGGACAGGTTAATTAAATTAATGTTCATAAATAGAAAGGAATACATTATCTCTAGTTATAATTACGCACCTTTTATTCTGACATCGCCATTGTTTAAAAATTAGACATCCAATAATATAGATAGCAAAGCCTCGTAATTTCTCCTCTGTGCAGTAAGTGCTAGTTTTGCTGCCTTTATGGAAGTCTTTAAAAACTTTTTTATGAAAAGTGTTCATGATCAGCGGAGACTGCAGGGGGCTACAAAAGGCCACGAAGAGGTGCTAGGCCGTCGCCACCAGGGGGCAGCACTGCGCGGCCCCCAGCACAAGGAAGGAGCTCGTCTGTGGGGCACAGGAGAAAAAGGAATCAGTTCCTTTCTGGGTCCGAAGACCCAGAAGCATTCCAGGAACAGTGACAGACACAGCAGATTTCTAGGAAGTAAAACTCACTGATGAAAATACATAGGGGTGCGAAGCGTGGGCTCGTCTTGTTATTAGGACGATAACTCCGTTCC